AAATTGTACTGTGTTTGCCTGATACCCTTGCTCAAATGGGTGTACTGTTGAAAGATAGGTTTCATGCTGCTGTCACATTTCCTTCCTATTAATCTTATATGTGCTAATCAATAAAAAAAGCTGCTAACCCTTAGAAGGTACTGCTGAGAATCACACACTCACGAGTCCTCTGTTCATGACATTGGTCAAAAAAAAAAGATGTGACCGACAGCACGGTGCATACACCCTCTCTTCTCTCCAAGCATGGGCGCGGACGCAGCACTGTGCACGTATAGTTTGATTTTTGAATCCTTTTGGTGCGCCCACCCAATAACGCCTGTAGTTACTACCCTTCTACTGTGAGCAACCATCAAGTCTGCTACTACTTGAAGTGAGCCAATCTTTGCCACCTGCTCACAGTCTCCAGGCATATCTGCTTGCTGCCGCTAGCCTCTGGATCACTCCATCAGGCTGCCATGGGCGGGATATAGCACTGCACCCATATAGTTTGATTTTTGGATGCTTTTGCAGCACCTGCCCAGCATTGCCTCCTGCAGCTGCCCAGCTTCATTTGGTGCTGCGATTTGCTGCTGACCTGGATCGATTTGCGCCAGCGGAGGTGTCCTCGGTCCAAGCGAAGCCAGGTACTCTGCGTAGACTTCCTGCCACCTGCAGAAATCGCATTCCACCTCGTCTCGGCTGCCATCGACTGGGGAAGCGCTCGCCGGCGAACTGACCGCGGCAGGCGACGTATGTCACCACTACCCTACCGCAATCCGGGCAGGGGACTACAGGCAGGGCGACCGGCGGCAGGGGAATACAGGCGGCGATCAGATCTGCACCTTGGTTGGCGTTCGCCATGAGCTGTAGCTTGAGTTCTTCAGTCAAATTTGAGGAATCGAGTGAGCAGGTAAGTAAACGACAGGCGCCAGTGGACCGAACAAGCGCCGCTTCCCACCATGTGTAACGGTGCCGCCGGTCGTAAACGGCAGGGGCGATGACCCGCTGTGAGAAACAAACGGCCGTCCGAGACCAAGTTCGGTATATAAGTATCTCATTAGTACGGTGTAGACGTACAGAACCCTGCAAGCCCTACAATACCACGTACGGCCCACATCCCAAAACGAGTGAATGGGTAGCGATACAGGGAGCGTGCGCGCTCGTCCGCGCCTATCAATTTCCGCAATATATACATACTACAAATTATACTCCCCATTAATTAGAAGGCCTAGCAGATGGACGATGCAAAGAAGAAGAAAAACCTAGCCCCTCAAAAGTCTAGCTACATTAGCGAGGAAAGATGGATAAACATGTTTCGTACTAATTGTCTTATCAGGCCTATGACATGAAACAAGATGTGGATGAAAAGTGAGATACGATCCAACTACTCCTAATAAATTTTGAGTCTTGCCTTTAACGTCTTGTTTCCTGGGTGGTGGGAGCCGCAGTACTCGTGGGCTGAGTCCGTGGCTCGGGTGCGGGCGGCTAGCGGTCATGGCTGCGTGGGCGGCGTGCTAGCTGGCGTTTCGACGGTCTGTGGCGGTGCCGGTGTTTGGCTTGGGTCCATGTGCCTGACCGCACCGATATCGAAGGAGCATGCTTACCGGCAGTGGCGGAGCCAGGATTTGCCGACGCCCCAGGCAAGAAACCAAAGGCTAAAAACTACCCTAAAAAAAACTCCAGTTTGAAGGCATACTATAGATGTCCTGTTCCAAAAAGAATTCAATGTCTTGTAACATTATATAGAAACAATTTACTAAATGTCAAATTTAGTTTCCAAATCTAATAAGAATCTAACAAACAGTGGCATCAAGCAACAACGGTGTCATCTAGCAACCGACAAAATTCATCATCAAACAGTAGCATCTGCAAACAAAAATTGGGGTTTGGAAATTGGATAAGCTACGATACCTTTGCTCTTTCCGGCTTGCTGTAGTCTGCTGAGGAAAGAGGCGCCTCCTGAGAAGGGCCACCTCGCCGGCAGTTCGCCGGGGTTGCTGCCTCGCCGGACAGGGCAGCAGCCCACAACGGAGGTGATTGAAGAGGATTGAAGGGAGGCGGGCATGCAGCTTGATAGGCAGCAGAGTAGCAGAAGGGGACTGGGGGGCGGGCTGGATAGGCAGCACGAGGACGGCGGGCGGCGCCGGCGGGCAGGGACGTGGCCACCGACCACGCCTAGGGTTCGTCAAGTTGGGGGAAGGGCGGCGGACGGGTTCGGTCCAAACTTCTGGTCGTGAGTAGCGCACGCACAGCCAGCGAAAAGGCACTGGCCTGGGCGGTTGGGCCAGTTGGCCTAGGCTGCCTGGGATTAGAGTGGGCTGCGCCCCAGGCCAAACATTTTTTTTCGTATATATGGGCCGAGAAAATTTCCCATGCCCCAGGCAATGGCCTGGGCTGCCTGGGGCCCAGATCCGCCCATGCTTACCGGGGTGAAAATCCTGTCTGGTCTAGGCCAGACTAACGGAGGCGGCACCTGCGGGCGTCGTCATCTTCCTGAAATCTTCTTTGTGGTTGCTCCCTCCCTTCGTCGTGCTCCGGATGAAAATCCGATCGTTGGGTCAGGCGGTGGCGGCTCTATGGTGTCGTTTCCTTCTTGAAGGCTCCGTCTTGAAGCACACGGTCTCGTCGATTCTCAACTTCATCTCTTTGTGGCTCATCAGAAGAGCGCTGGCGGCTTCGTAGTGATGCTTTCTATCTTATCTTGTAATCTACGTCGAGTCTTTCGGTGTGTTGTTGTTGTAGCCCTTTGATACCTATGTATTTTGTCTTGGGTGTGTGTGGGTCTCATGTGGTGTGTTGGCGTTTGTATCTTTTCCGTTTGTTGGCGGTTGTTGCTTTATATATAAAGGGAGGCGCAAGCCTTTTTCGGTAAATTAATATAATAATTTATGATTGGTTATTACTAACTAAGATACTAATTAGTATGTAGTCCGTGCCAATCTGTAGTATGGATATATCTTAATCCAAGGCGATATATCTTATGTGTGACCAAGTTTGCATATCAATATCTAGACCACCAAATTAATCTCATTTAATTCTTTAAAAAATATAGTTTCGTAATATGTACATTTTATCATATTTTTCCGTAACTTAGGACAACCCTATAACTCCAATTAGCTTTGAATGAAGTACCGGAGTGGCTGACATGTGGTGCTGCTTATTTTCTGGCCCATATGTCAGCAACTCAAGTCATCTGCCTATTATGGGCATGTGGATTTGTGCCATTCGTGTATGATTCGATGTGAGTTGTTGTGTTATTGTTGTTTGATTCGATGTTTAATTCCTGCATGCATGGGCATTTGGATTCTATATCATTTGATATGAGTTTAAATTGCACATTATTGTTATTGTTTATGTATCCTATATATACATAAGAAGTTGATCCCCACTATCCTATTTATCTCAACATGCACACACATCTCATCAAAGGCCCACCACTACATGCATGAGAAAAGGTTTTCCATTATTAGTTGATCTCATTCAAACATTTCACCTCATCACACATGCCACCTCATAAAAGGTCCACTCAACATGCATGAAAAAAAGTTTTTCATTACGTTATGCCACTTATACTCAAAATATTTTCTGACTACACAATAATCAATTACAATATATAATATTTATTTTTAGCTTTAGTTTATATATTATTAATTCAACAATGGAAGCTTCATGCAATCAAATCGCTGAAATATATTCCAATCGGTTCCGCAGCAACGCGCGGAGTATTCTTAGTTATATTATGTTTGATGTACCAATCTGATGACGACAATATATACATACTACAAATACTCCCCCACAATTAGCAGGCCTACGATAGATGCTACAGCTAGCCACTCAAAAGTCTAGTTAAGGCCCTGTTTGGTTACAGAGACTAGACTAGAAAAAAATCCCTTTTAGACCCTATGTAACCAAACAGGAGGGACTTTTTCTATAGGAACTAGAAAAAGACTCTACTGAAGGGTCTTTTTTCGTTAGTACCTGGGACTAAAAAAAGTCTAGTCCCTTGCAACCAAATACCCCTAAATTGGCCAGGAAAGATGGATAAAAATGTTTCATACTAATGTCTTATCAGGCCTATGACGTGCGACAAGATGTGGAGGAAAAGTGAGATATGATTCAACTAATATATCTTGACTCTTGCCTTTAATATATGTAAACTAATATAATAATTGATGATTGGTTATACTAACTAAGATGCTAATCAGAAGTTCGTACAAATCGGTAGTGTGGATAATCGAATTCTTTACAAAATATACTTTCATAATATGTACAATATTTGATGTTGTAGTACATTTTACCACAATTTTCTATAACTTAGGACCAACTTCAATTAGTTTTGAATGGAGTACCTGAGTGGCTGACATGTGGATCCGCTTATTATCTGGCCCACATTTCAGCAACTAAGTCATCTGATATTATATAAGAGGACCCCAGCCCCTATCCGCCAATTCCATTTCCGTCCCTGCTTCAAGAGCACATGCATGATAGTGGTAATTTCCCCTTCCCATCGGACATCTCAAGTCACCTAATAATCACATTCCAGTATACCACTTAACATGAAAAAAACTAAAAAAAAAACATGAAAATGGACATGAACATGGATGAACGCCTCCGCAACAAACAAAAATGATTTCCGGATGCTTTCTGTAAGTGTAATCCATACCAAAAACTCAGCTTCAACGACCCCGATAAAACAACATTGTGGTAGAGTGCATCGTTACAGAAAACGTTGTTCCAGGCATAACATCATCTTCTCAACCGAATTGCACCAACCTGACATGCCAGCCACAGGCCACATGCCTATTCTCCATTAGTTTTCCAGCAAAAGAATATGTCACCCAGAAGTCAAAGATTAGGACTGATATGCTACAATCCGACAACACACTTGATCACCTTCGGAAACCTCTCCCTAGTCCCCGCGAAAAGGAAAGAACCTCTCCTTCGAGATGTTCTTGTAATGTTGAGCACACAGAGGTTAAGATTTAGCTCATCATGCTACTGGACTCGGAATGGGGGGTAATTTACTGTTCATCGGCCACTGGCTTATAATAATCCTTCAGCACTTCGTCCACAGCCTTATTGATTATGCTGTCCCTGGCCTGATATGAGTTGAAACAAAGATTTCATGAGTGACTTTGAGAGACAGTATAGGGCACTGAGGTCAGCAAAAAAAGAAAGGTTACCTTTATCCCGATGGCCAGCGCTGTTCGGACATTCGCCACTTGACCTAACCTCAGGGAGCTTCCTTTGTTGTCCTTGAGGCACAATACAGGAACTTGCCTTGTGCTTGCCAGGGTTGGTATGTGCTTTGTTAGCCATTTGGGATTGCAATCAGCGGCTATAATGACAGCCTACAGTACCATGAAAAAAGATGTGGAATAGTAGTCAGTATTAGTGTTAGCATATATGTATTGCGGATATGGACATATTTACAATACTATGAAATCCCCTTAGGCCCTGTTTGGATCACCGTTTCTCTTTGAAATACACTTGTAAAGAATACACACCTCACCCCGTCGTTTCACTTTCAGCTGGAGTTTGCACAGCGACCGGTAAGTTACACTTGTAAATTATACACCTCCGTATTATAATACATCTATTCCAAGCACGGCCTTATTCTTTTGCTCTTGAATACACATGACAGTTAAATATCCCAGATTGAGTTGATTCAATGTTGACGTGACATTCAGAACAGAGTCCATTTAACTGTTGGTTGTGCAGCTGAATGAACATTAGTGTTCTATAGAAGACAACATTTTCACTTTGCAGCTGACAGCATATATTTAGAGCATGATTTGATACTAAGGTCTTACATCGCGGTATGTAACCCAGACTACAGTATTTTAGCCCTTCATGAATATTTGACCAGAGATGCAGTAAAGCACCCATGTCTTACATCCATGGCGCATATTGAAATGTAGACAGACATAGTTAGACCAGATACATGCTACTCTTAGTTGATTTGACCTTACAGATGTACATAATGGAGCTCCAAGTCCATAAGAAGGCAACAGTTGTCTCTACTCTCTAAACTCTAAGGCCTTATAGCAAGTTAAGAAACAATAGTAACCTGAAGTGGCACCAAAGGAGCTCTCCGCCTAGCTGTGCTGGTCGGTGCTTCAGTGGAACAGCCAGAACGAGAAGCAGCAGCCGCGGGCATTCGCTCGAGAACCCTTGTCACGTCGTTGACTCCAACAGAAAATTGTTGCTACAAGGGCAAAAATCATGAATGCAAAACAACATCAGAATATTCTGAATTCACTCATGATAACAGAAGTACTCTATCTGCAGTAAATAACTCTATAAACTTAATGAAATTAAGCAAGGATGGCAATACCTTCATCCATATCTTTTCTGGCAAACCTCCCCTTGAAGCCTTGGCAGTCTCCACGCTCCTACAATAGTAGTAACTGTTTTCAATATTGGAATAATTCAACACAAAGAAATGTTGGGACAGTAATGGTATTTGCCTACTAACCTGATAAGTTTAGACAATAGTTCATCAAGGGAATCTCCTGTTATATAATCTGAAGTTACTCTGTTCAGGGAGAAATACCGAGTGATGAGTGAACTGAAGTACCTTAACTTGAATAAGAGGAAAAATAAAAACAGCTACAAAGATAACTCAAAATTCAACAGGGCAAAGAGTGTACGTTTGTTCAGCATCTTTCAGCAACTTGATTGACTTTCCAGGTTTGTTCTTCTTCTTGCTCATCGGCACCAAAAGAATGCTACCAACTGAGAAGACGACCTATTAAATGAAGATCAAACTATAATTTCACTTATTTCTACCTTCACTATGTAGCAAACACAGTACATGCAAGAAAGGAACATCTGAAATGGGATAAATATAAAGAACTTCAAACATACTTAAACGTGACATACATCAGCACCGTGTACACTGTAAAATTGAAGTTCAGCGCTAACACAGCATTTTTTGATGGTATTATACTAGATGTACAATAATTTCTACATTCATCCACCAACAGTGGCAGATTCCGAAATGGAGTACGTCCAGCGCAAACTTATACAGACCAAACTTATTCCAAAAATTCCCACCAACTATTTAACACACTTACATTCAAGACTACAAAACAACATATTGGCGGGGGCAAGATTTATGATTTGGGTACACGGAGTTACAAAAAAAAGATTCTACTACAGTATATATACAAAACATAAAGAACAACCGTAATGACAACTAAATTAAAAATCATACTCCGTACTTCATAGAGATAATGCCTAGACTACTTTAGTGCAGTTATTACAAATATCAGAAGAAAATTCACCTTCTACCTGCCGCGAATTGGTTGCTGTACTGATGCTCCCAACCTCCTCTGGTCAGCTGCTAACCTGCCATATCAGTATGAAAACACATTGGTCTGAGAGAAGAGTCTCGGTTAAAATGAGTGGATGCAGCCGTGAATGGAGACATGGAGGGAAACTGAGGAAGGGCTGAGCACCGGCACGAGACGGCGTGCCGCGGGGGTGACGCTGCACCCGCAGAACAGACAGCTGCTTAGGGGCGCGAAGTGGTCCTTCGGGGAGCGCGCCACGGGGTAGCGGCAGGTATTGCGTCGGGTGGCGGTGGCCGGCGGCGTGACGGCGTCGGAGTCAGGGGACTAGGGCGTCGGCGCGGCAGGGGATATGTGTTCGGGAAGGCAGTGCTTTCTCGGGGTTTTTTAGGGCCGCTTTCTCGGTGTGTTGGCCTGTTGGGTAAGCCAATTATGGGCCAAGAGCCCAAGACATTCTGCATAGGAAGATTAAGCTCAATGATCCAACTGCCCCAACGATAAGTGGTCAGAGATAATGTTAAGCAGACCTTGAACATGCACAATGAGTCTTTGAATGATAGGTATTTGGAAATGCCAACTGATGTAGGGCAGTCTAAGATGGGTACTTTCAAGTACTTAAGAGACGGAGTATGGGAGAAGGTTCGAGGGTGGATGGAGAAATTACTCTCAGTTGCAGGAAAAGAAGTGCTTATAAAATTTGTTGCACAGGCCATCCTAGTTTATTCAATGGCATGCTTCAGATTACCACGGGGTTTGTGTGAGAATATCACTTCGATAATCAGACAGTTTTGGAGGGGGAGTAAACAAGGAAGAAGAAAACCGGCCTGGGTTGCTTGGGACATCATGACAAAACCAAAATACCTAGGTGGCATGGGTTTTAGAGATATTGAGATTTTCAATCTTGCACTACTTGCTCGTCGGGCGTGGAGGCTAATGGATGATCCTACATCGCTAAGTGCAAAGTTGCTTAAAGTGGCCTACTACCCAGAGAGTAGTTTCCTGGATGCAGATTTGGGGAACCACCCTTCGCAAATATGGCGGGTTGTGATTGACGGCAGAGAGGTATTGAAACAGGGTATCATCCGAAGGGTTGGAAAAGGGGCGTCAATAGATATTTGGAATACCAACTGGATTCCAAGAATTGGTCCCATGAGACCAATCACATCCATCTCAGACAATCCCCCAAGGTTAGTGTCAGAACTAATTGACTCCACCTCCGCTTCATGGAGGGAAGAACTGATTCGGGGAACTTTTTTACCCTTTGACGCGGACGCAATCTTGGCAATTCCTTTGTGCACAAGAGCGGTGGATGATTTTTGGGCATGGTCGGGTGAAAGGAGTGGAAAATTCACGGTAAGGTCAGCCTACCGGATGGTGATGAACACAAAACACCATCGTGAGAATTGGTTGGAGGGAGCTGGTGGAATTTCAGACCTCAACACAAAGAGCAATGAGTGGACAGAGCTATGGCACATCAAGGTGCCTTCGAAGTTGAAGGTTTTTCTGTGGAGACTAGCTCAACACTCTATCCCGTCGATGGATGTTCTGCACCGTCGCAATATGTCCACCACCCGCTGCTGCGCCCTTTGCGGCTATGACGATTCATGGAAACATGTCCTAATGGAGTGCACCATGTCTATATGCATATGGTCTCTATCTAATCCCCGTCTCGTTGAGCATATGAGTCAGAAGATGGGAAGGAATGCAAGGAACTGGATTTTCGCAATGCATGAAGTACTATCCCAGGAAGAATTTGTTCTCATGGTGGTAACACTATGGTCGGTCTGGAAAGCTAGGCGAAAGGCGATGTACGAGGAAATATTTGAGAGCCCTCAATCCACTCATCAGTTTATTCAGGCCTATATGAACAACCTTCGTTCAATGCAGGAAAACAATAGCAGCTCGAGGCCGATGGAGGGATTAGCGCGGCCGAGGCCAACACAGTTGATTCATGCTCCAGAGGCAATGTGCAAGATCAACGTAGATGGTGCAGCTTCACAAAACCTGAGGAGGGGAGCTGCAGCGGCATTATGCAGAGACCACAATGGAAAGTTTCTAGGGGCATCGGCCATACTTGTGAGGGGTGTTTATGACCCACCTACACTTGAATCCCTTGCAATTCGGGAGGCTCTAGCCCTGGCTGAAGCTCTGAATTTGCAGAGAATGCATGTTGCATCAGATTGCAAAGTGGTGATCGAGGATATGAAGGAATTGTTGGAAATATGCCCTAGAGGCAATAATAAATTAGTTATTATTATTATATTTCCTTGTTCATGATAATCGTTTATTATCCATGCTATAATTGTATTGATAGGAAACTCAGATACATGTGTGGGTACATAGACAACACCATGTCCCTAGTAAGCCTCTAGTTGACTAGCTCGTTGATCAATAGATGGTTACGGTTTCCTGACCATGGACATTGGATGTCGTTGATAATGGGATCACATCATTAGGAGAATGATGTGATGGACAAGACCCAATCCTAAGCCTAGCACAAAAGATCGTGTAGTTTGTATGCTAAAGCTTTTCTAATGTCAAGTATCTTTTCCTTAGACCATGAGATTGTGCAACTCCCGGATACCGTAGGAATGCTTTGGGTGTACTAAACATCACAACGTAACTGGGTGGCTATAAAGGTGCACTACAGGTATCTCCGAAAGTGTCTGTTGGGTTGGCACGAATCGAGACTGGGATTTGTCACTCCGTGTGACGGAGAGGTATCTCTGGGCCCACTCAGTAGGACATCATCATAATGTGCACAATGTGATCAAAGAGTTGATCGCGGGATGATGTGTTACGGAACGAGTAAAGAGACTTGCCGGTAACGAGATTGAACAAGGTATCGGCATACCGACGATCGAATCTCGGGCAAGTACAATACCGCTAGACAAAGGGAATTGTATACGGGATCGATTGAGTCCTTGACATCGTGGTTCATCCGATGAGATCATCGTGGAACATGTGGGAGCCAACATGGGTATCCAGATCCCGCTGTTGGTTATTGACCGGAGAACGTCTCGGTCATGTCTGCATGATTCCCGAACCCGTAGGGTCTACACACTTAAGGTTCGATGACGCTAGGGTTATAAAGGAAGTTTGTATGCGGTTACCGAATGTTGTTCGGAGTCCCGGATGAGATCCCGGACGTCACGAGGAGTTCCGTAATGGTCTGGAGGTAAAGATTTATATATGGGAAGTCTTGTTTTGGTCACCGGAAAAGTTTTGGGTTTTATCGGTAACGTACCGGGACCACCGGGAGGGTCCCGAGGGTCCACCAAGTGGGGCCACCATCCCCGGAGGGCTGCATGGGCCAAGTGTGGGAGGGGACCAGCCCCAGGTGGGCTGGTGCGCCCCACCCCCCACAAGGGCCCAAGGCATCTAGGGTTTGGGGGAGGGGGCGCACCCACCTAACTTGGGGGGCAAGTTTCCCCTCTCCCCCCCCCCCTTGGCCGCACCCTAGATGGGTTTGGGCTGGCCGCCGCCCCTAGGGTGGAACCCTAGGTGGGGGCGCAGCCCTCCCTCTCCCCCTATATATACTTGAGGGTTTTGGGGCTGCCAACAGAAGAGTTTGACCTCTCCCTGGTGCAGCCCTACCTCTCTCCCTTCTCCTCTCCCGCGGTGCTTGGCGAAGCCCTGCAGGATTACCATGCTCCTCCATCACCAGCACGCCGTTGTGCTGCTGCTGGATGGAGTCTTCCTCAACCTCTCCCTCTCTCCTTGCTGGATCAAGGCATGGGAGACGTCACCGGGCTGTACGTGTGTTGAACGCGGAGGTGCCGTCCGTTCGGCACTAGGATCTCCGGTGATTTGGATCACGACGAGTACGACTCCCTCAACCCCGTTCTCTTGAACACTTCCGCTTAGCGATCTACAAGGGTATGTAGATGCACTCTCCTTCCCCTCGTTTCTGGTTTCTCCATAGATAGATCTTGGTGACACGTAGGAAAATTTTGAATTTCTGCTACGTTCCCCAACAGTGGCATCATGAGCTAGGTCTATTGCGTAGATTCTATGCACGAGTAGAACACAAAGTAGTTGTGGGCGTTGATTTTGTTCAATATGCTTAACTTTACTAGTCCAATCTTGTTTCGACGGTATTGTGGGATGAAGCGGCCCGGACCGACCTTACACGTACTCTTACGTGAGACAGGTTCCACCGACTAACATGCACTTGGTGCATAAGGTGGCTAGCGGGTGCCAGTCTCTCCCACTTTAGTCGGAACAGATTCGATGAAAAGGGTCCTTATGAAGGGTAAATAGCAATTGGCATATCACATTGTGGTTTTGCGTAGGTAAGAAACGTTCTTGCTAGAAACCCATAGCAGCCACGTAAAACATGCAAACAACAATTAGAGGACGTCTAACTTGTTTTTGCAGGGTATGATATGTGATGTGATATGGCCAAGAAGAATGTGAT